TTTTTTTTTTTTTTATAGATGAGAGAAGTAAACTTTTTTACAATATTTATTTTCAGTTTATATCGAACACAGAAAATATTAAGTATATTCAGAATTTTAAGTAACCTATAAATAAAAAAATGGTTTAAAATAAATTATTTACAATGCTTGTTTTTTTAAAGCTTTATTTCTATACGTATTAAAAACGTTAAAAAAAATTCATTACAATTAAGGAAAATTTGAGCTATATATTATCTTCTGGTCCTTGTAATTATATTGGATTTTGATATTATAACCGATAAATCGTGAACTTTTTCTGTTAAACTCAATTAAATTTCAATTCATGGCTGTACAATAAGTAGGATTAAATAATTATAGTAAATATTTTTATTTAAGATGGACGAGAATATGATATCACAAGGAGGAACACAAGCTGATTTTATTCGCGAGGAATTAAATTTTAACATTGATGCTGAAGATCCTGTAACAAAAGCTTCTTTAAATGATCATTCTGTAGGTGATTGTATAGATATATTTGGTAATGGTCAGTTGAAAAAGACAGTTATAAAAAAAGGTGAAAATGGAACGCGACCAAACAGAGGTGATATATGTACATTAAACATTACTGGTAAACTTGAGGACAGTAAAATAGTGGAAGAATATGAAAATCTTGTGATACAGTTGGGAGACTTAGAAGTGATACAGGTATCATATATATTATTATTATTATTTGTCAATATTTGGTTTATAATACAATATTGATATATATATATATTACAGGGATTAGACTTAGCAATTGCATTGATGGATATAGGTGAAGTTGCCGAGATTGTAATTGATCCTAGATTTGCTTATGGCAAGCAAGGAAAAAAACCTATACCACCTGATGCCACTATTATATACACAGTTGAACTGAAAGCAGCAGAGCTAGAGCCTGAGATAGAAAAATTAAGCATTAGCCAAAGAAGAGAAACAAGGTAATAATTTTGCTTATAAATTATGTAATAGAAGTTATTTTTGTGGATTAAATACTTTAAGGACAAAACTTGGTGATCTGTTTAACTTTTTTTTTGGCATAATGTTTGAATTAATTTTTCTAAAGTAATAAGAAACGTGAGCGTGGAAATTGGTGGTTTGTTCGGGACGAGTTGCCTTTTGCATTACAATGTTATCGGAAAGCATTGGAATATTTGTCATCGACAAAAAGTGGTACAAATCAAAATGAGGAAGAAGAGTCATTTAGTGATACTGAATTGCAAATTTTACTAGAGGATCGCATAAAAGTGCACAATAATTTAGCAGCTGCATTAATTAAAACAGAAGCCTATGATTCAGCTTTAGAAAATGTGGAACATGTTTTGAGGTGTCAACCACAAAATGTGAAAGCATTATTTAGGAAAGGTAATGCAAAAGTCCTAATCTTATATTTACTATATTTATTTAGTTTTTTTTTTAAGTTGTATTTATTCTTGATTTATGTTTTGACAGATATGAAAAATTCAAATAAGTATATGTATTGTATGTATTATAGGAACAATATTGAGACTCAAAGGTGAATATGCAAAAGCTTATGCAATCTTCACTGAAATGCAAAAATTAAATCCAGACATGAAGATATGTAATACAGAATTAATGACCTTAAAAGATAAAATCGCGAAAGATGCAAAAAAAGAAAAGTACTTATACCGTAAAATGTTAGGTGTAACTGAAGATATCAAAAATTTGTCAAAGGATGTGAAAGCGGACGATAAAAGTAAAAAGAAGTTTGCTAAGGGAGTTTTATGGACGTTGGCTGGAGCAGCATCTGCTGTTGTAATCAGCGTATTTATACATAGGTTTACTTCGTGAAAAAGAAAAAAAGAAACAAATAAAGACATCAGTTAATATGATTAAAAATAACGTTGAATTCTTTGTGTTTAAGGAAACAGAGTCTGTATGGGATTTAAGTATGTAGTATCATAACTTTCCAGTTTCCAAATTTTTTTTTTTTTGGGAAGAAAAACCGACCAAAATTATGGATAATATGTGATGAAAATTAATAAAGACAAATTATAGGTAATATGTAATGAAAAATGTTAAACTTTTTGTTTATTTAAGGAAATAGAATAATGCTTGATCTGTAATTATATGTATTCTTTATTTTTAAATATTTATAACTATAAAATATATATA